ATGCATCTTCCGATACCTTTACAGAGGGTTCACCATCACTCTTCCTCAACTCATAATTCACCAAAGCTGAGGTCACCTCCTTATAGCTAACTGTAGTTCTTCCATTGATCATAGTTAGAACAAACGTACCATAATCATCCTCGGGCAACAAACAGAAAAGTAATATCGCCTTGTCTTCATCATCAACTATGATGTCCACATTGGTCATAACTGGAAGTAGCTTCGTGAAATTGTTGATATGCTCTGTGATGGAAACTCCCCTTTTTATTTTGAACTGATAAAACCTCTTCTTCAAGTGAAACTGATTCTCAATGCTCTTCGTAAGATACTTCTTATTGAGTGTTTCTCACATCTTCTTCGCCGACGTCTCGTTCATAACATCATAAATAAGATCTGGTGTCAAGCATGACCTAATAACACCACAAGCTCTACTGTTCATCTTCCTCCAAACCTTATCCTCCATATCAACAGGTTTCTCTTTTAACTCAAGAATCTCCTCCAAATTCTGTGCATCCAATGCGTCCATCACCTGACACCTCCACAATCCGAAATTGATCTTGCCATCGAACTTCGGAACATCAATCTTCGTGTTATTGATGCTCAGACTCTGTATCGCCTTCGTAAGAAACGAACCTGATGTGTTTGCTTCTCTCATATTGTCGATCTAACTCTTTAGATAGGAATCTTCACCGAATCCTTCGAACAAGCATGAAGCTCTGATACCAATTGTTGTGCACGGCAAAAGTTCTCGAAGCGACACGAACAATTACTCGAGATAAATCACAGCCACTAAGCAAATCATAATCATAGTAAGAACAAACTATTTACGTGGTTCGGCAAGTTGCTTACGTCCACGGGGCAAGGAGGGGAGGGAGTTCTTACTATTAGAAATCAAGAGAATATATATAGAGTTACAAATCTCACCGATCAAACCCTAAAACAAAGCTCTAGATCTCTCACAAATCTTTCACAATTGGATGCAGCAATCCTCTCCAAAAGACTGCTCAAAATCGTCATTGCTTAACCCTAACTAATCAGGATTAGAGTTATATATCAGCTCCAAAACGAACCAGGTTGAAAACCCAAAGCCCAGCCCAAACAGCCTGCGGTCGACCGCGACGATCGACCGCTGCGGTCGACCGCGCAGGTATCGCCGTCGACCGCGACGGTCGACCGAACACTCCCGACAGAGAACAAATAAGCTACAGGAAACTCACGGTCGACCGTGGCGGTCGACCAAACCAAACGACAGAGCCCAAAAATCCTACAGGGTCCACGCGATCGACCGTGGCGGTCGACCGCCTTCAGCTCCCAGCTCTTCCTGACCCTTGTGCACGTTCGTGGTCGACTGTCAGTCTGTCTGGCTGAATTTCTGGGTTGTTTTCTTCAGCTGTTTTGCCAATTCTTCATATTAGGGTTAGAGTTAGTGGGTTTCGCAGGTATCGTTAGGAGGTTTAGTGGAAAAAAACTCCACCGAGATATACTTTCAAATCTATCCATGTCCATTGTGTTAAAGGACCTTTTCACTGCAACAAAACTCCGGGATCATTTTTGAGGTTTTGAGTGATATAGTTTATATCCTAACATGTCCCCCGCTGATCGTCCTTTTCATACGCTGAAATCTAGACTTATTCAGAAGCATCTCTTCTAGATGTTCGTTCGATGGGATTTAAAAACTTAGATTCTACCGCGTCAAAATTCCGAAGTTGTAATAAGAACAGAGAGTTATAGTTGTACACTCTAACGCAATAGAAAACGCATAGATAGCGACATGTAGTGCATGCACTTAACACCATGAAATGATAACTTCGGTCATACGTGAATATAGACGATAACACGCCATCAAAATAGTCTATAATAGTGACTAATACTCTCTAATAGTGATTCATATGCGATTGAGACTGATCAAGATAGCGATGGGAGGAGGTGCATGCACCTTTGTAACATAAATCACCCCTCATGTTACTGCAATTGATGGTGGCTTGCTATCAATTATTAAATTTAGATGCACATTATT